GTAACAATTAAAACATAACAAAAAACTTAAATTAAAATATTTTGTTTGTCCTCCAAAAATGAGTAGAGAGAGAATGAAGTTGAGAGAGAAAGGGAATGAGCAAATGATGGGGGGGGGGAAGGCTAGCGACCTGTATATATAGAACTTTATGGTCGACGCTAAATTCAAAAAATTTCATCTAAATTTTTCAACCAAAATTTATGCCGCCAAACTAAAATTTACGCGGAAAAAATGATTTTTTTTTTGAATTTAGCGTCGAATTAGCCTCGACCATAAAGTTCTATATATACAGATCGCTAGCATTCCCCCCATCATTTGCACATTCCATTTCTCTCTCAACTTCATTCTCTCTCTAATTCGATGCTAAATTCAAAAAATTCATTTTTCTGCGAAAACTTTAGATGAATTTTGTGTCGAATTAGCGTCGACTAAACCCTAAACCCGACAATATCATTTAGTGTCGAAATAGCATCGAATTATAACAATTCGATGCTAAATCGACGCTATTTAGCGTCGACTACAGATGATTTCGATGCTAATTCGCAGCTATGGCACCGCTAAATTATGTTTAGGGTATAGGGTAAAAATCATTAATAACGTGCAACTTACCTACCACCTTCGGCGCAATATTTGATGCTATAGCTGACGCTATGATATCGATGCTAAATCGATGCTAATTTGGCATCGATTTAGCATCGAATATAGATTATAAATGCTAAATCGTCGCTAAATCGACGTTAAATTAACGTCCAATAAATTCGTTTTGCGTCGAATGGTCTTCGACACAAATTCGACGCTAAAGTTCGACGCTAAAACTGTGTTTTCTCATAGTGATCTAATTTTAGAAAGAAAAAAAGATGATATGGTAATTCTAAATATTATATTTAGTTAATAAAACATATAAATTAATGGATATATGTTATCTATATATTATTTAAGAAGTGCAAAAGCTTATGTGGCATCTCTAGGAGCCCTCTCAAGAGGGTACTTAATTGTATTTATTTAATGATACCCTTAATGTTTTTACTAATTAAATTATGTTCTATCAACTTTTGYYATCTYTTTTTTGTGACCCATTTATTTTATTGGTCTATTTATTTGTATCCGTTGTTTTAAAATCCTAGATGTTATTTTTTTATCGTCTATTATAAATACACTATACATTGTTTTGTTCTATTGTATGT